AGATCAGTGTATACATATATATATATATATATATATATATATATATATATATATATATATTATATATATATATATATATATATATATATATATATATAATATATATATATATATATATATATATATATATATATTTATATATATATATATACATATATATATATATATATATATATATATATATATATATATATATATATATATATATATATATATATATATATATATATATGTATATATATATATATATATATATATATATATATATATATATATATATATGTATATATATATTATTTGGTGGTCTAGTTGTCTAATGCGTCATGCATTTTCTCTCACAATGAGGCGGGCCAAAACAGCATGGGTTCGACTCCTTGGCTAGTGCAGTGTTGCTATTAATTAACACCACTTGTTCCGTGGGTACAATAATATAATACTGTTCAGCTCATTGTCCTCATTGCTCTCGGGCCCTGTGGACGTGCTGTGCAGACGCTCCTGAATCACCTGGTTTTCTGCGTAGTTTTCCTGTTTTTGAGCAATCAAAATGGCGGATCGACATGGTGGCCAGGTGAATACAGTCTGTGTTGAATTGGTTCGTGGTACGCTTACCGGTTCAACTATGCAGGTGTTACTTCCAACGATCATCGGTGAAGTATATGGCATACCGAATGAGGAATTGTGTGGCGTAGCACTCAACGGACTTACAAGAATTTTCATCAAGTTTTAAGGATGCAGGTTACTACTCCAGCATCGTTAACGACTATCATGAGAAGAGGATGGCCATGAACACTGCAGTGACATGGGTTATAGTGAGGAATGTGCTGTTTGAAGCAATGGAGCATGATGTGGTAACGGTTTTCCGAAATTATGGAAAGATCCACGCAGCGGAATTGGGAGTGTGGAAAGATGGCCCGTATGTGGGGTTGCCTGAAAGTTCTTTTACACTGAAGATGACTTTACGACAGCCGATTCCTTCGTATGTACAATTGGACGACTTCTGAACCCAGGTCTTCGTGTATTACGCGGGACAGAGGAAGACTTGCAGATTGTGTGGGCCTTATGATCACATAGCGGCTCAATGCCACAAAAAGGCAGGACGGAGGGAACACATATCATCGCCGGTATTTCAACAGCAAGGCACAGCCGTGTCGGAGGCAGGTGCGGTCGTACGATAGGCACTTAACAGTTGGAGTGCGGAGGTCGACAAGGCAGAGGAGGAAATGGACGCATGTGTTATGTTACCTGTTGGTACGGAACCTGTACAAGCGTCGAAGAGGAAAGAAGATGACGGGTGTGCAGAGCAACAGGATGGATTGCTGGAGGAGGTTTTAAACTCCTTTCTAAGTGAGGTGGAGGGCACTCTGGGGGAAGTGGGGAGTGGCTGCACGTCGGAGACATCACACGATGCTTTAGTGCCTGGGGAGACTTTGTGCACTAATAGAATGGTGCACACAGTTGTGGCAGAGGTGCACAGGGAGGGGATGGAAGATGAGGAAGTGTGTGTTGAAGGAGGTTCTCGCAAGCGAACGGCTGGAACATCGGTGATGGACGATGTCCTAACTTCAGGGCAGAGGTCGGGGAAAAAGCCGTGGAAAAAAGAGATTAGCCACGCAGAGAGTGGGGGAAAGGGTAAGGAGGAGATGAGCAGTTCAGAGAACATGGGGGGGGGGTTGGTCAGGCAGGGTGCCAAACGAGGAACTATCCAACAGTCAGGTATTGTGGGACACCTACCAAGGCGGAGGGGAAAGTCGCCACTATTACAGTAATTTCAAGGTTGTGACAATTAATGTAAATGGATTGGGAGCTGAAGTGAAAAGAGTGTGGATGGAATGGTTCATAAGGTTGGTTGTAATTTGTTGCTGAAAGAATATCAGTTGTATGTAAGTGAGTCTATGAGATTGAAAGGAGGTGTGGCAGTGGCTGTAAGGGAGAACAGTCCCTTACGTATTATGCATTGAGAAGAGGGAGGGGAAGGGTGGTGAGGGTGGACGGGGAGTGGGGAAAGACTAGAGTATGTTTTATAGGTGTTTATATGCCAGTGGAGGGAACTGTTAGAGTTAAAGATAATTTCGTACGGGAAGTTTTGATGTATCATTTCAGGGTTTACCTTTAGTCACTGTCATTGGGGGAGACTGGAACTGTGTGATAAGGGGGGGATGTGAAGCAAAGGGGGGCGGGGTGTGTGTTAGGCATGCTACGCAATGTTTTGCAGGATGTGGGAATTAGGGATGTTGGGGGAGGGGTGAATGGCGAATAGAGTTTACGTTTGTCAGGAGGGGTTATTCGGCACGTTTAGATAGGATCTATACAACGGACGCGGCAGGGCAACATAGATTCAGGGCAGGTCGCTCCTGCCTCTCACAACTACTGGATCACTATGATATGGCCTTGGATGCACTGGAAGAAAATCAGAATGCAGATGTAATATACACAGACTTTGCAAAAGCATTTGACAAATGCGATCATGGCGTAATAGCCCATAAAATACGTGCTAAAGGAATAACTGGGAAAGTGGGGAGATGGATCTTCAACTTCCTAACAAATCGAACACAAAGAGTAGTGGTCAACAGAGTTAAATCGGAGGCTGCCATAGTGAAGAGCTCTGTTCCACAAGGCATAGTACTCGCCCCCATCTTATTCCTTATCCTCATATCAGACATAGACAGAGATATACATCACAGCACCGTATCATCCTTTGCGGATGATACTAGGATCTGCATGAGGCTGTCATCTGCTGAGGACGCGGTTAACCTCCAAGAAGATATAAACAAAGTTTTCCAGTAGGCAACGGTAAACAATATGATGATCAATGAGGACAAATTCCAACTACTCCGTTATGGAAAACTGGAGGAGATAATAACTAGAACAGAGTATACTGCGGACTCTGGCCATACAATAGAGCGGAAAAATAATGTAAGGGACCTGGGAATAGTAATGTCTGAGGATCTCACTTTCAAGGATCATAACAGTGCCACGATCGCACATGCAAAGAAAATGATAGGATGGATAATGAGAACGTTCAAAACGTGGAGTTCCAGCTGTTCGAGAATGTCATTGCCACATGTCTAGAAATTCTGTTGGACAATGGTATGGGGCAGAATAACAGTACCACTACAAGAATTGAGGGAATGATGTTTCTCGATAGTGATAGGAATAGTACCATATGTGAAAGAAGAGAAAGATCATGAGCTTGGGTAGAATTCTGGACTGTGATGATGCACGTACCACTCTTAAGAGCATGAAAGGAAATATCTCTACCAACGTGGCATAGGAGCGCTTTGCCAATACTATTGTCGGAAAGATAGGCAGTAGAAGAAGTCGGTCTTAAAGTAAAGAATTTAGTCCATTGTATGGTCCGAAACTGAGTGTGGAGAGGGAGTGCATGACGTGTCGGTCTTTTCCGAGTAGAATGGGAAGGTAACGAAGTAACATCATCAGGAGATTGTCGTTGGCGTTTAGAAGTGGGACCAGAGTCGGTCGGACGTGGGACGGGCTGGCGATTCGAAAATCGTCGCACCATAGAGGGAGAGGCCGGAAGCATAGTCAAAGGAGAGCGGAGGTCAGACAAATCAAAGGAGTCAGTCGAAACCCCGGCACCTGAAGCGGGTGACGAAACAGCACCAGCAAGAGGTACAGGGACCTTAGGAATGTCCAAAGAGTGGCCAAAAGACGAGGCGAGGTCAGAACGGGGTGCGGTAACAATAAGGGGCCCAGGGGTAGCGGGGTCATGGATCGGGTGCTCCAAGGTTAGGTTACTTCTTTCTTTTTGTTTTTAAGAAAAAAAAAGAAAGAAGAAAAGAAAATAAAAATAAAAAAAAAATAAAAAAAGGGGGGACACCGGGGAGGGATAGTTCCTAGGAGGAATGAAAGGGCCAGAAATCCCCCTCCACGCCCAAGAGGACCTCAGCACCGCAAGTAGCGCAGATGCAGCATGGAACCTTCATGCCAGTAAACCAGCAATCCAGGATAGCAACCTCACATCTGCCGAGCTACCTCGGTGGACAAAAGAGAGGGCGGCTGGATATCTGCCACAAAGCATACCACCTTCGGCCACCACCCCCGGAATCCGAAAGGTGGCTTCCAGAGATACACCCGTCGCCCGAAAGACACCCAAAGCCACCCTCTGGGATACCAGAGAGGGATCGGGACATCCCCAGGCGATCCAGATTCCACGGCAAACTACGCCACCGCCAAGAACCTCAATGGAATGGGATGGACCCTGGTACCCTTTCCCCTACCTAGGAAGTAGCATGCCTGTGGGAAAAATCCCAAAGGCCAAAAAAGGAATGCAAAAGGGAGGGGTAGGGAGGAGGAGGAGGAAAGGAAAAAGGGGAGGATGGGATAGAGAAGGGGGGATTGGGGGTAATTAGGTTCGGTCTGAGGAAGGAGACCGACAGGTCTATTTCGGCACGACATATATATATATATATATATATATATATATATATATATATATATATATATATATATAATATATATATATATATAATATATATGTATATATGTATATATTATATATATATATATATATATATATATATATATATATATATATATATATATATATATATATATATATATATATATACATATATATATATATATATATATATATATATATATATATATATATATATATATATAATATATATATCGTGCCGAATAGGCAGAACTTGCGATCTTGGCTTAAATAGCAACGTTCATCTTGCCATATAGGACAAGTGAAAATTTGTGTATGCAATAATTTCGCCAAAATCATTCTGAACCTAACGAAAAAAATATATTTCACTTTGTTTGTTAAGTATTAAATTATTGTAAACAAATTTAAAATATATTTAGTTGGGTTAGGCTAAAATAAATTGTTCTTGTTATAATAAGGTTAGGTAAGTTTTCAAAGTTCCTTTTGGTGCAAAATTAAAAATTTTTACATTAACATTAATGAAAAAAAAAATATCTTTAAACGTATAAGAGAAAATTTTAGAAAGAACTTAATTTTAAATAAGTTCCTGCTAATTGACCAGTTTTACATATTCAGCAAGACATATATATATATATATACCCTTCAAGCCTGGACAGATGGGAAGCAGGTGGTGTGGGACTATACATGGCTGATACCTATCTCCAATACACCAAGGAGGAAGGAGGGGCAGCTGCCAGCTTCAGGGAGTCCCAAAAGTCTAGAAAATATTGAGAACTTGCCCATTATTATATGTTTGTTCCCATAGGCTCAGAGACCCTTGGCTCATGGGGAAAGAGTGCATCTAAATTCCTTAAGGAGCTGGGAAAAAGACTCATCAGGGTAACTAGGGATCCCAGGGCAGCTAGTTTTCTGTTCCAGCGGCTCAGTGCGGCTGTTCAAAGGGGTAATGCCTGCTGTATTTTGGGCACACGCCCCAGCTCTGAGGAGCTGGATGAGATTTTCGCCTTATAATCGGTGATACACACGTAACAACATGTACCGTACTTGCCACCTTTATATCAACAATATATTTAGTTGGGTTAGGCTAAACTAAATTGTTCTTGTTATAATAAGGTTAGATAAGTTTTCTAAGATTCTTTTGGTGCAAAATTAAATTTGTTTACATTAACATTAATGAAAAAAATATATCTTTAAACGTATAAGAATTTTTTTTAGATAGGACTTAATTTTAAATGAGTTCTTGCTAATTGACCAGTTTTACATAATCGGCACGACATATATATATATATATATATATATATATATATATATATATATATATATATATATATATATATATATATATATATATATATATATATATATATAAACTGGAGAATGCCTGATGAGGGTTTCCGGGGTCAACGCCCCCCAGCCCAGTTTGAGACCAGGCATTGTAGTGGATGAGGGTGTGATCAGCCAGTCTGTTACTGCTGGCCGCAGTACCATTTCCATTCTGGGACCGTGATCACTTGCAACATACTGTACAAGAAACAAGAATATCAATACATACAGAATAAATTTGTTTGAAAGAGAAGTGTGAGAAGTTTGTCACAACCTTCGTCTCACACCTTACTTTTATATCTATATATTATGTTATTCTTGATTACCTCTGTATGTTAGGACAAATCTGAAGGTTTTCCAGTACAAGTGTGATAACGTTTGGTTTGGTGAATGATTGAAAAGAAGAACATAATAATATGTTAAGAAAAAAATATGTGAATCTTTATATATATAAATATGTAATTTTGTAATAGTACTTCCCCCCCCTTTTTAGGCTCCACCACGGGCCCGGGAAATTTGGTGACGATCGAGGGGTCTGGTTTTGCTGATTGTATAATTATGCCCCAGATTCCGGGGGTTTCAAGGCTCAGTTCCGGGGCTCCGTCGTGAGGGGGTAAAACCTTCTGATCACAAAAACTTACGTAAGTAAACCAAAAACATATTAATTATAAATATGTAGGAAAAAGTGGGGAATGTACATATCACAGTTCGTAGGTTTTTTTGGTTGGGAGGAAAAAAAAAAATCGAGATGGGCAGAAAACCCCCTTTGAACAGGGGAATGTACTTTCCCATTTTTCTTCATCACCCACAATATTTTTAATCTTTTTTCT